CGACAAAGCAGGAAAGAATGTCCAATGGAAAAAAGACAGTCTCTTCAACAAATGGTGTTGAAAAAATTGGACAGCCCCATGCAGAAAAATGAAACTGGACCACTTCCTTACATCACACACAAAAGTAGCCTCAAAATGGATGAAAGACCTCAAGGTGAGACAGGAATCCATCAAAATCCTTGAGAACACATGCAGCAAGAGGGTATCATGCTAAGCAAAATAAGCCAACCAGAGAAAGAAAATTAACATATGATCTCTCTGATATGAGGAATTTGAGATGCAGAGTGGGGGTCCGTCTGGGGTAGGCAGGGAGAAAATGAAACTAGATAGGCTCTGGAGGGAGCCAAACCATAAGAGACCCTTAACCTCAAGAAACAAACTGAGGGCCGCTGGGGGGTGGCAGATAGGGATATGGTGACTGGGTTATGGATATTGGGAAGGGTATGTGCTATGGTGAGTGCTATGAAATGTGTAAGCCTGATGAATCATAGACCTGTACTCCCTTGGGCAAATAATACATTATATGTTAATTTAAAAAATAATAATAATTTTAAAAATTTTTTAAACTTCTTGCTAGACTCATCTCCAAAGGAATGGAAAACAAAGCCAAAAATTAGCTATTGGGACTTACAAGATCAAAAGCTTCTCCACAGCAAAGGAAACATTCGACAAAACTAAAAGATGACCCACAGAATGGAAGAAGATATTTGCAAATGACATATCAGATAAAGGGCTAGTATCCAAAATCTATAAAGAAGGGAGGGGTGCACCTGGGTGGCTCTGTCAGTTAAGCGTCTGCCTTCAACTCAGGTCATGATCTCAGAGTCCTGAGATCGAGCCCCACATCCTCAGCAGGAAGTCTGCTTCTCTCTTTCCCTCTGCTGCTTTACCTGCTTATGCTCCCTCACTTGTGCTCTCTCTCAGAAAACAAAAAACAAAAACAAACCAAAAACACTTAAAAAATAGAGAACTTGGGTGCCTGGGTGGCTCTGTCAGTTAAGCGTCTGCCTTCAACTCAGGTCACGATCTCAGAGTCCTGAGATCGAGCCCCACATCCTCAGCAGGGAGTCTGCTTCTCTCTTTCCCTCTGCTGCTTTACCTGCTCATGCTCCCTCACTTGTGCTCTCTCTCAGAAAACAAAAAACAAAAACAAACCAAAAAAAACTTAAAAAATAGAGAACTTGGGTGCCTGGGTGGTTCAGTGGGTTAAGCCTCTGCCTTTGGCTCAGGTCATGATCTCAGGGTCCTGGGATCGAGATCCGCATCAGGCTCTCTGCTCTGCAGGGAGCCTGCTTCTTCCTCTCTCTCTCTCTGCCTGCCTCTCTGCCTACTTGTGATCTCTCTGTCAAATAAATAAATAAATAAATCTGTTTTTAAAAAAAATAGAGAAATTATCAAACTCAACACCCAAAGAACAAATAATCCAATCAAGAAATGGCAGAAGATGTGAACAGATATTTCTCTAAAGAAGACATACAAATGACCAACAGACACATGAAAAAAATGCTCCACATCATTCGGCATCAGGGAAATATGAATCAAAACCACCAGGAGATACCACCTCACACCAGTAGAATGGCTAAAATTAACAAGTCAGGAAACAGATGTTGGCGAGAATGCAGACAAAGGGGAACACTCTTATGCTGTCAGTGGGAACGCAAGCTGGTGCAGCTACTCTGGAAAACAGTATGGAGGTTCCTCAAAAAGCTGAAAATAGAGCTACCCTACAACCCAGCAATTGCACTGCAGGGCATTTACCCTAAATATACAAATGTAGTGATCCGAAGGGGCATGTGTACTCCTATGTTTATAGCACCAATGTCCACAATAGGCAAACTATGGAAAGAGCCCAGCTGCCCATCAACAGACGAAAGGATAAAGAAGATGTGGTACATATATACAATGTAATATTACACAGCCATAAAAAAATTGAAATCTTGCCATTTTCAACAACCTGGATGGAACTAGAGGGTATTATGCTAAGTGCAATAAGTCAATCACAGAAAGACAATTATCATATGATCTCACTCAGATGTGGAATTTAAGAAACAAAACAGAGGATCATAGGGGAAGAGAGGAAAAAATAAAACAAGACAAAACCAGAGAGGGAAACAAACCACAAGAGACTCTTAATCAGAGGAAACAAACTGAGGGTTGCTTGAGTGGACTGAGTGGAGGAATGGGGTAACTGGGATGGACATTTAGCATGCGACATCATGAGAACTGGGTTTTATGTAAGTCTGATCAATCACAGACCTGTACCTCTGAAACCAAGAATACATTATGTGTTAGTTAATTGAGTTAAAAACAAAACAAAACAAAACAGCACAGCCCAGCAAAGTGAAGACAGGACAGCCAGCAGTTGAGCAGGAGTTGGGGACAAGAGCCAGGACTATTGAGAACTGAAATGAGCTATGCTACCAAAAGTCACCTTCTAATGAACAGCTTTTAGAGCAGTCTCTGATCTGTATTGGTCACCAAGGTTTTGGAAGGTGATCCTCTACATGCCCAAACAAGGTGCTCCATGTTTTTGTCCGTCTTTTTGCCCATGTGAGATAGAGACTATTTTTCCCACTTCGTAACTGCAGACACAGGCTAGCTAGTAAAGATGATAAGCCCTAGTCCAACTGAACCCAAAGCCTATGCAGGAGTCATGTCCCACCCTTCAGCTCGCCAGTCCAACCTATCTATAATCCAATCTCCAAGTCTGACAGTAGGCTTACTGATCTTATGGAAGTGAACTACACAGGCCCACAGGAGCACTGGGGCCAAAGGAATCCTCTTCACGTCTGGTGGAGTTAGTTATCAACCTTTCAAGCCAGGTCAAGGTCAGAAAGGTCTAGCACCTTCAACTTCTCCCACATTGCTATTCTAATAACAGGGAAGTGTGGTATGTGCCTTAGAAAGCGACATAATCGACAATCCTTAATTCATAAGAGAGCATGTAACCAAGTAGCCACAGTATGTATTAGTTGACTGAAAAAAAAATTAAGAACTTAGTTTTCATTTATAATGTGATCATACATGAAGTTCACCACTTGTAGTTAAAACAAAATAGTAGCTTACGGTTATTAAATAAAATAAGCACCACTTCCCACCATTTTGTGTTCTGGTTAGAGAATATACATTTGTGGCTATCATGAGGTCCACGAACCTTCAGATCACAACAGACTTTTGCTGCCCCAACGCAAGGAAGTAATTACAGCTAATGTGTGGCATGACTGCCCCTCCCTGCATTTTCTTATTCCCACAGAAACATCAAACCTTGAAAAAGATAATTTTCACCTGTGCAGAGGTCACTTAATCACCATATTCACAAAGCAGGCTCAAAAGAAATCAAGACAGGTAGAATAAATGGTAAATCTTTTCTATAAAAATCTCTTAGGTGAATCACCAAAACCATCACACATTGCTTATTTATCCTCAACTCACTCATAATTTTAATATGGTTCCTGCCTGGTTTTCATTCCTTAGCAAGTCAAAAGAAAAAAAGTTAGGGTGAAGTATTAATGGAAATAGGTAAGTGGGGATACCAGGGGGCTCAGTTAGTTAAGCGGCTGCCTGGGACCGAGCCCCACATCAGGATTCCTGCTCAGTGGGGACTCTGCTTCTCCTTCTCCCTGTGACCCCCCCCCGCACCCTGCTCGCTGGCTCTCTTCAAATAAATCAGTAAAATCTTTAAAAAAATTTTTTTTAAAAAGGAAATAGAAAAGTAGCTTCAAATTAGCAGCTGCCAAGGGAAGAAGCTACAAAATGCAGGCACTAAAAAGCAGCCATGTGACACTGTGGACAAGCTGACGACCCTCTGGCTTTAATGGAATCGTGAAGGAATCACTGTGTAGTCACTGACCCTTCTAATGATGATTCCAAACTATCAAGGTTACATTGTACTCAGACAATTTATTTAAGGTGGTAAAGTATCTAATATAGTTAAGAAATATTTCTATCCAAAATTAACTATAATGTGTTAAGTATTCCAAAAGATAAGCTTTTGTTAGCTCAAAGGTCTCCTCCCAGGTCTTACTGAGTCTCCCTCTTCAATAGCCCAGAATAAAAGTAAACTACTTCTATAAGAAGATACAGAAATACAGAAACACAAATAACTTTAATGATTTATAGTCAAGAAAAGGGAAGCTTGAATCTGTGATTGAAAAAATGAAAACAGTTACAAGCATACCTACACAGAAATTACAAAGTTCAAGAGCTTAACATCAACCAACTGCTGTAAAAATAAATATTTAAAGAAACACAAAATAAAACTGCTTAATAGTGGGGGACAACGAGGGCGGGGGGATAAACCAAGAAAATGAATGGAGACCGGGCAGCAACTCCCAAAGTTGTTTTACAAACAGGGGTCCACATCAGAGGAACAGACACCTGTCTAGGAATGTGACCGATGAGACAACAGACAGTGACCACAAGTCAGTTATATATCAAAAATAACAACCGAAATCCCAGAGAGCCCTGAATTATTTAATCCAGACATTATCTAACCCCTCAGATTTGCTTGGCGCTCGGGTGTTCATCATTCTCCATTAGAATGAAATGTGGGACAAACACATTAGTGGTTGGAGGGGGCTGCAGCGCTAATCCATCCGTGAGGGTTAGGGTCCACAGTGTATCAGTGCGTTTATATAATGTGTTTCTTGATATGGAAACGTGACATGTCAAAGAAGGAACTACAGTAAGGTTTGTTTTGAAATAATCAGCAGAATCTCAAACTTAGAAATAAATGAATCTCACTGTGTTCCTTCACTTGAGACTCATCTGGTACTTCACAAACCTCCAGCCTCAGGGACCAAGCATAGCAGGTCCCACGGTGTCTCCCCTCCCGTATTGCAGAAGTATATTTAGTTTCCAGTTAGACTCATTAAAGAATTCTTCTTACAAATATTTTTAAATTCATTCACAAACACGGACACTCCAATCAGAGTAACCTCCCCAGGACTCCCCAGGCTCAGGCGCATCTCCTCTTCTGCAGCCCTGCCAGCCATGGGATTAGGAGCCCTTCCTACTCCTGCGTTTAGACTTATCGTGAGAGCCTTTTGTACCACCTGGGCAAAATCTGTTCTAATCAGATAATCCCCAATTTCTGCCTCCACAGCAATCTAAAAATGGAAAATAAAAAGCTTCACAAAAGAAGAAATTAAGACCTTCCAAAACAATTATTTTAGCAATATGCAGTGAGGTCTACCAGCAAAAGGACTGGCCCTAATTTAATTAACATCTGATTGACAATTTACTAATCTGGTGAGACCTAAGGAATACGGATACTAAAATGTGTTAGAGAAAATGCTCTACGTATATATACATATACTGTAGATAATAAACACAGTCACAAATTGATAATTAACTGTAAGCAAGTATATACAATAAAAATAGGTACCACGAATCCAATGTTGATTTTCACCACCAAGGAAAAATGCTATGGTTTAAATCATGATTTCTTGATGACTACGTAAGATAAAAAGCGATAAAAACGTAGGAACTGACATCCACATAAATTTTAAGAAACTAAACACAACACAAGATGAAGACAGTTGTAGACAGAAGAATTTAACACCTATGGTGGTACATTCAGACCAGGTACTCTACTACAATAAAGCCAGAATCAGTTATTTGACAATATTCTTTGTTTACTAAGGATGGCAAATACTTTTGCTCATGGCAAGCGTGGACTGTTTTCATCAAAGAACATTAAAAGGCTGAGACAGTAACGATACTGCTTGTATTTTAACCAATAGTTCTGGTACTCTCTCATTAATCTTTGATAGCTGATTATTTGAATAAAAAGACATGATGAATCAAAACATACACCAGTTTTAAAAAGAAAAATCCTTCAAAGCAATCTCAGCATCTAAATGGTAAACACAGAATGAATTCCAATTCTGGCGTGTTAAGTTTTGTTTTCTTTTGTTTTTTAATTCAAGGAAAAAGTATGTATGAACGAGTCTACCTATTTATAAAAACCTGAATGATCAAAACAGTGCCAATGGCTGCGTTCTCGCACCATGTGAGTTCAATCTGAAACGTTCATCTGGTGCAATATTCAGCTGTCAAGAGGGAGCAGCTCAAAGGACATCACACAATCGATAAACCAGCTGGAAGGAGCCATCCAGACTTTGCCCTGCCGAACCCTCTCTGGGCGATGATTAGACAAATCTTCATAGATGATATACTGTGTGCAGAAGCGCTGATCGGAGTCCGGTCTCGCGTGATATGCAACCGTATTGATGGTCTGAGTCACGTCACTGTCTGGCTTGGGCTTTCTACTGAGGACCTGGCCCCCAGCTGCAGCGACAAGCTTAATAAGGTTATCCTTTGGATGGTGTTTGAAGGTTCCCCCAAAATAGAAGTAGCATCCATCAAACAGCTTTGGCAACTGAAATAACAAGAAAAGGCTCGTTAAAAGCAGATCAAAATATTTTAAAACACTGCATATGAATGAGGAAAATAAAGATAAATAGTCATGAGCTGTTAAGAAGCTGCTAGGATAAAGTGTATTTCAAGTACATTATTTAGGTCAAGAAAAGTACTTATGTATTTATAGGTTTCCTAGTTATAATTTTTCTCCTAAAACTCAGTCACCATCTCAGGAACTTCACACTCCTCAGATTTTAGGCGTTAGGTGGAGTGCGTATGTTTCTGATCCACACACACACATGTTTTAAAAAGCAAACAGAAACTGCTCATCGAACTTTACAGAATGTTATCATATTTGGGGGGATTCAAAGCCCACAAACTCCTAGGGGATCTGCAATGTGCTTCAGGGATACTCAGCTACAGTTAATAAAATTATACGAGTAACATCATTTCTGTGGCTCTTGCCGCAGTTCTGTCCATCCTTACTCAGGTCCCTATATGTGACCAACCTCGAGTCTCGAGGACAGCCCCGGGGGGCATGTGGCCTCCGAAGGTTCCAGATACATCTTCCCTGGGGTCCAATACACCATGAAGGCATGGTCAGGCATCCAATTAGCAATGAAACACACCACTTTGTGCGTTATGAAAAAAAAAGTTCCACAACTGCCTTTTATGAAAAGTTTTCTTTGTCCTTTCTAATATATATACACACACAGGATAATGGAATATTATCCATTAAAACTACAATATGTGACAATACACACATATGGAAACTAAACCCAAGCAGCAGCCATAAGTCCTCTTTCAAGTTACTCTCTGTATCTGAGACTTACCTCAGATTCGGAAAGGCTTATGGGAAGGTTCAAGATGCCAACAATCCATTAACAGAATGAAATTATTACCTTCTGGATTTTACTGCTCATTGTGATCATCTCTCAGAATCAAGTGCTTGAAACAAGCACAATTAAAATTTTAATCAGTCACCTGTACTTGCTGAAAGGGCAAGAGACGTTTTTCCTGATGGTGATACTATTAAGTTACAATAAGACCAACAAAAGCAGTATCAAAACACAAATACCAGCTGCTCCTTGTTGAGCCTGCTTCGCTGCGGTCCTTCAGGAATCTCGTATTTTTCCTCCCGTTCACATGCTTTTCTCTGGAGACATGCTTTCACCCCTAACAAAAAACAAGGATAAAAGCAAAGTAAGTATCAAGTGAGTATTTGTTTCTCACTGAAACAAGTAACTGACCTAGGTGATTTGTTGTAACTATTGTTCTGAAACAGAAAAAGAAACCTCACTTATGCTAAAACAAAATGGTAATAAAAATGGTTTTCCATATAAAGAAAATATAAGAAATCTTTCCTTCAGAGAACTGAGCAATGAAGTGCACTGAACACTAATTTTAGTTTCTCTTCTGAAAACCTAAATCAATATGCTATTTCACGCGCAATCATAAAAATCTAAATTTTTATTTATAGCAATGACAAGACGGAGGGTGCATAAAAAGTCCCTTATATAGTCCAGCCCACAATGATTTAAACTTGAGGACTGATCTGCTGCGCTGCTCGTTTCCACAGTCCTAGGTCTAACCTCCTGTTAGACTCTAAAGTGAGCTGACAGAAGGAAAACTGTTTCCGCCCACAGCGCCTAGCTCACACGGCCACCCAGCAGAGACTCGAGAGTGCTTGTTAAATGTTAAGCAGAGCTTGGGACACGCTTGGAATTTGACAGGTACACAGTGGAAGTCTCCAGTCTAGAGATGACTTGGTGAACATTTCAAATGCTTTAGAGCTGCTTCAATAGAGACGTTCCAAGATACTGCTTAATATATAAAAGTCGCAAGATTTTAACAACTGTATTCTCCATCTCTCCAGAAGCAGAGCTTTATCAAGAGACTGAATTTATTCTTAACTTGCGACTGTTAACGCATACTCAAATTCAACACTCCACCTTGGGATAGCTATAATTCCTTATCATGTGATTCTTAATTTGTTAATTTTGCTTATGTTTTAGTATCCTTTTCCTCGAATGTTTTTAATACAAAAACCATATTTACCCAAGTTTGTTATGCTGAACTTCTGAATCTTATTATTCTAACTTATCATAAACACAATCATTCTGTAAAAATTGCTGGGTTTCTACATGTAATAAAAACTGCATCTTAAAAATATAATTTTTAATAACTGCCCACTGAGTAAAAAACTGTCTTTCTAATGGATCTCATATTAAAATATATACTGTATACTGAAAATGAGTCTCAATATTTTTGAGTAGGTCTAAGTATCATACCAGACACAATGCTAGTGTGCGTACAGCATCATATTCTGTTTCTAATATTAAAAACCAACCTAAAAAAATTAGCAATCCAGCTCAATCATGGACTTACCTTAAACTCATTATTTTACATGTAAATTCTTATTTTTACTTTTTATCACTTAAGCATGTAGTCCCCTTCCTAAATCTCCTTTCCTAATGACACTCACAGAGCATTCATACCAGTATCTTTAGATGAATGAACATGACAGCATATAAAGCCAAGGACCGAATACTCCTGTAACTACTGTAACAAATGAAGAGCAAATGTCTTAATCACAGAAATAAATGGGCTGGGCTTATGCTTGCTGCGTATCCATTTTACAAATTCATTTGGTTAATTATTTAAAAAAATAATTTAAAAAACATATTTTAAAAAAACATATTAAAATGCTATCTATCAATCCTGGCGATATTCTGCCATTAGCTTCAGTCACCAGATACAGGAACGAGAGAAGTGTAGCATCTGGCAGTCACAGTTAGGGCAGCGGTTCCATGGGAAGACGCCAGTGCTTCTACTGCGTGACTGCCTCAAGTCATAAAATTTACAGCTTTATAGCAGTTGTTCAATAAATTTCTATAGAGTAAGAAAGAAAAATCCGGTGCTCTAATTAGTGCGTTGAATTAAGAATACATTCTTCTGACATTCTCTTATTCTAAGCAACAATCTGCCAACTCTGTGCCACTTCATTGTCAAGAAGAAAGAAAATAAAGCATTTTTCCCTCTGTAAATTAAGGAACAGTGTGCAGGTCTTTAATAACATGCTTGAATGGACACTAAGTGTTCTGTTAGTTGCTGTCATAGCATAGAAAACATCAAGAATTTTTTGAAACTTTAGGAGTGACCTCATCTACTCCAAGGGCTGTAATTTCAATGCCCGCAAGGGCAAAACGCGTCATATAAACATATAAGGAACACAATTTCCAGGGCCAGGAAATCGTGGCGACTGTAACCAATAGGAAAATGAACATCATACATAAAGACACAAAATGTAAGAAAAAAAAAGACACAAAACGGAAATGGCTTATTGGACTGAGCAGTCCACATAAATTGTATTTGCTTTGGCCCTTAGACTACCAATCTGAAATGCCCAATGCTTCATCTAATCAATCTCTTCATTTCAGATAAATCCTTTTTTTTAAAAGATTCTATTTATTTATTTATTTGAGAGAACAAAAGCAGGAGCGGGGGAGGGGCCGAGGGAGAAGGAGAAGCTGACTCAGTGGACTCTGAGCAGGGAGCCTGACCTGTGACTTGATCCCAGGACCCCAGGATGGTGACTTGAACTAAAGGCAGATGCTTAACCAAATGAGCCACCTTGGTGCCCTGAAACTTAAGTGTTAAGAGATCTAGGCAGTTTTCTCAGTGACACAACTAAGAACAAAAACTCAGATTATCTTCAACTCGTAGATCAGTTTTTTAATCTTTATTCTTCTTTAATCTTTTTTATTTTATTAAAAAATAAAGCATCTAAGGAAATGTCAGGCATTCTCTACTCAGATTTAACGTATTATACCTCTCTTACAATAAGTCCCATAACCATATAATAGACAACTAAATAGAAGGATCTTCATTTTTAAGAGATTAACAAAAAAGTGTACCAAATGGCAAGAACTGGTGAATGCCGTGGGAGAGGAGGTGTGGGGATAACAATGCATTTGGCTTTGTCTTAGTGAATCATTAAGTTTATTGCTACTCTTTCTCAACACTTACTTATTGACATTTATAATTACGTATCAATTCATATCAATTTTCTAGTGAACCTCTTTTGAGATAAAACAACTATCGTGATCTACTAAACAAGTCAAAAAAAAAAAAAAAAGAAAAAGAAGAAGAAAAGGATAAGATTCTTTCTTTTTAAGATTTATTTATTTGACAGAGACAGCAAGAGAGGGAACACAAGCAGGGGGAGTGGTAGAGGGAGAGGCAGGCTTCCAGCAGAGCAGAGAGCAGAGAGCCCAGTAGGGGGCTGGATCCCAGGACCTGTGGTGAGAATCTGAGGCCAAGGCAGCGGCTTAAGTGCTGAGCCACCCAGGTGCCCCAACGAAAACAGGTTGCTTTAAAATAAACTTGCAGCAATTTAAATGTGATACGTTAACATCATCAATGGACTTGAAAGAATCTACCAGCCAAAACATTACCAAATTAAAAAGTCAAGATAATGGATGGTATTTTAAGATTTTATTTACTCAATAGAAGTTAAGCAAACTGTAGCAAGGAAATTCCTAAATCTATCTTCCATGTTAAACAGAACATCAGAACTTTCATAACATTCATTGACATAAAGTAATCCAAAGTAAATATACACTTGTAATCCTTAGTCTCTATATGTATATATCAATTTTAAAATAGGCCATTTCCCACCAATTAAGATACTTCTTAAAACTTAACCAAAAATGTTTTGTTTGTAATATTTATTTACTAAAGTTGGTATTATTCCATCATCAGACACTAAAAGAGCTTAGCAGAAAGATGGATACTTATTCTCTCTTTTGAAGAAGTCAGAAGCATATGCAAGCCCGCTTATTGGCTTTTTAGCTAATAATTTCCAAACCAAAGTGACTTTAAATGAGGCTATGTTAAAAAAAAAGGCTATGTTATTTATGTAAACACAGATTTCTACATATGCCAGAATGATATATACATTAAAATGTATGGAGCCACTATCCTTATAAAAAGTTCATATTCTTTCTTCCTTTTCACATGTTCCATTATGTTTTGAGATTTTGACTGATGCTATCACTTTGCAGAAATTTAGGAATGAATTACCTCTTTTAATAAAATTCAGAGATTCTTTTAGCCCACATATATTCCTGATCATGTCTACCATTTCAGGTAAGCTTTCCTTTGGCCCTGATTTATTACTTTTTTATATACAGGTAAGAAGCCCAAATCCCAAAGTACTGCTTAACTCAAAGTCATTAAAAGTAGCTCTGGCTACCTTAGCAAAGCCTGGAATTTTTGCATACTAATGCAGCTTATGAACACTGAGCTACAATAATTTTTTAAAAAGAAGCTTGTACTACACAGAAAGGTATTCCTTTATCTTAAATCTCCAGTAACCACTCTTACCTCCTACACCTTGTAATAGAACATATACCAAAGAATGTGTATTTTCATGAACTGATGATGATGTTTGTAAATCTACACTAAGCTTAACCACTTTTTTCTAGTTTTAGAAGGGAAAATCTAGTTTTAAATCATGGAAATGGGAAGGAGTAGGAGGGAGATAAACCATAAGTGACTCTTAATCTCACAAAACAAACTGAGGATTGCTGGGGGGAGGGGGGTTGGGAGGTGGGGTGGGGTTATTATGGACATTGGGGAGGGTATGTGCTATGGTGAGTGCTGTGAAGTGTGTAAACCTGGCGATTCACAGACCTGTACCCCTGGGGAAAAAAATATATGTTTATAAAAAATAAAATTATATAAAAAAAAAAATACAATGAAGATGGGATAAAGCTTTAAAATGAAATCTATTAAATGTCCAAAGTGGGAAACTACCCTTCCATGGAAGTCCACAGAATCTGCTCACTTTTATCAAAACCTAGAGCAGTAAATAAACCCCTATTTTAAAGAACTGCTATTTTTCTGGAGCCACTGGCTATCCATAATTGAAATAGCACTGAAAATCAAAATTAAATACAATTCTCAGCCAACACCTAAGTCCTAAATAAATAAAAATACAGAATCAAATATCATTCTATGTCAAAATCAAAATTCCTAATAAATATATCATTGATCCAAACCAGGCACTTATGGAGCTCAAAGTAACAGCATATTAGTAAAAAGGCATTGAGAAATTCCCCCTCTGATTCTATTAAAAATGAGTATCCAAGCTGTACAAATAAAATAATTTA